GGCACCTGGGTCCCATCCTCCCTGGGATGGAAGGCCTGGTGCTTGCTGGGCCCCGCTGGGCCGCAGTCTCGTTGCTCATGGGCTGGGTACACCTGTCCTCTCTGGACAGGAAGGGAATGGCTCTGCTGTGGGCTCTGGGCTTTGCGGCCAACCTCCGGCTGAGAGCTGGCCTTGCGAGAATCCGGGCATTATGGGACTGTCACCCTGCAGGGGGCTTCCAAGGACGACCCTCCTCCTCTGCTCTCCCCAAAGGAGCGTCCAAACCCCAGCCGTGACCATGGGCTCAGACGCGTCCTCTCTCTGGAAACGAGGGGTTTTCCTTCTCCTTTTGCATTCCCAGAAGCAAGGCCGGGCTCAGACGAGACGGGCCTTTGTGGAGATTGATGTGGAAGGCATCGTTTCAACCTTTAGAGAAAGTTCACGACAGAAACGCTCCCCTTGGCCAAATAGTAGTCCAGCCCCTCTGAGACCTCTGCTCGGCTGGGCCTGACCTTGGGCTTCCACGTAGGCCTTTGCCAAGTCCACTCTCGGCAAGGCTCCCGCTGACAGGTTAGAGAACCCCAACCCTGGATATCTGATCAGTTCCTCATCACTGACCTCCAGTGTCCGGGCCCTTGACCTTCAGCAGGAGCCTTGTGTGGTCAGGGTCCCGATGTCTCAGTTGGATCTCCTGTCCACTCTGCCGTTGGCTGTAAGGCCCCTGTCTCTGGGGGCTCGGAGGGGGGCCCCATCTCTCTCCCTGTCCTGATGGTCTTGACTCCATTGCCGTCGTCCTGGATGAGGTCTTCTTACAGCTCTCACAGCCTCAGCATACTTTTTCTCTAACGCTCGCTGTCCACGGAACCCCGGCGCATAGCGACATGGGCACACCTATGCAGCCAGGGACCACGCCCCACCCTCCACCGGACTTTGTTCTCCACCTTTATGCTCTGCCCCGGTGGTGCCGCTGGCCTAGAGGAGAGATTTTCCAGCTCCTTCTTCTCTGGACTAAAGTCTTGGCCGCCTAGGAAGATGGGGGCCATCATGGTCAGATATGCTGGGTGCCGCCCCAGCCGCAAGGGCCCGCCGGCCCCCCACCCACCCACCCTGGAAGGACTAATTTCCTCCCTGCAGCACTGGCAGGAGGAACAAATGAGGCAACATTCATAGAAGCAGAAAATAAATGTGGCTGTTATTTTAGAGGAATTCCATGACTCTGGCACAAAAGGAAGAAATGGAAGATGTTAAAGATGCAGCGAGTCCTCTAAAGACAGAAACAGCTGAATCGGGAGGACACACGGGACTAGGAACCTGGACGAGCCAGCCAGGAAAGGGGCATGCACACGGCCCTCATGGCCACAAGGCCACCGGGCTTCAGAAGGGACACCAGCCACCCCAGCCGAGCAGAGTGATGCTCCATAGGGGTGTCACCCTGTGCAACGCTGGGGACCATGGCCAGAGCATTAGTGTAGACAGGTGGCAGGCTCATGGTGGCTCAGACCCTGCATCTGAGCCTGGGGGAGACAGGAGGACTCAGGGGCCTCTGGAAACAGATCACGGGCTCTGAGCACTAAACCCGCCTGGTGCTCCCCAGGATCCCAGGGCAGCGTGGAGACACCACCAGCAAATACAGCATCATCAGCAAAGGACCGGCACGCAGAAGATGCTTGGTCTGGGAACAGTCCTAAGCACGTCCCCTGTCTCCATGTGGCAGGCACCCCCTGGGGGCCAGGGGAGAGCGACACCCCGAGAACGGTTGCTCTTGTGAACTTTCATTTTAGTGGGAGGTGACCAGCAAGACAGGTTGAGGGGATGAGGGGTACTGGGTGGACAAATGGGGGACTGCTGGCCAGACAGAAACTTGAAATGGGGACTTCAGGACACGAGGGTGTGGGGAGGGCAGGCTGCTGTCCCCAGCCACCCTGAGGTCCTGGATCCTGTGCTGAGCAGCCCGTCCCAGCCCTATGCCTCCATCCTGGCCAGCATGGGCCCCAGGGCCCTTCTCTCTGACCCCTCCCCCCGACCTGTGCTCATCCGCTCTGGCCTCTCTGCTGAAGCAGCCAGTGGTCCCTCCTGCACCCCAACATTGCCTCTCCTGGGCTGGGCTGACCCAGGCCCACGGGAGCAGGGCAGTGGCCATAGGATCTTTCTCGGTCCCCAAGTGGGTCCTCTCGAGAGCGACACAGGGCCCTGGTCATTGGTCCTGCTGGGGGCACAGTGCCCACCATCAGCTCAGACTGGCAGGACATGCTGACCTGCAGTTGAGTCTTGGGAGTGACCTGCAGAGGCCCCCCCTCTGCCTGCTGAGCTGAGACCCCGGAATCCCCAGGATCCTTCCTCCAGGTCCTGCATTCCACAAGGGGGCACCAGCTTCTTGGGGAGCCGGTCAGCTCAGGACAGGGACGGCAAAGTGGTCACCTCCCGAATGCCAAGGTGATGCAGTATCATGGGGCTGGGACACCCGGCAGGAGAGGACCCAGCAGAGGCGAGGTGGCTGGCAGGCTGGCAACCTCCGCCGGGACAGCCAGGGTTTGATGTGGTGGCGCCAGGGTCGGCCCGTCCCAGCCCCCTCTGGATGCTCCTTGACCTCAGAGTGCCTTGAGGTCAGGAATCGTGTGGGGCTCCTCCTGGACCCCTGACTTAGAAAGTGCTCCGCATGTGAGGGTAACGGTGAAATGAGCACCCACAAACATGTGTGCACGTGTCCACACACTTGTACACACTATACTACACACACCATGTACACACCTCCCACCCCTGGGAGGCTGAGCTTGCTCAAGGCCTGGACTGGCCGGCCCTGGAACTGGCCGCAGGCCTGATGGCCGTAATGACACGACAAAGGAACAGACTGCAGAGCCAGCTCTGGACCCGGAGCTCTGCCCCACACGCAGGATCCCATATCCTACAGCCCCGGCTCATGTCTACACTTTGTAAGAGGCAGAGTGAGGACTCAGACCCAGACAGGTGGCCACAGACAGCATCGTGTGACATGGGACAGTGCTGCCTGGTGGGCACTGATGCACAGAATTGCCCACAGGGCGTAATGTTGGTGCGAGGGAAGCTTGCCTGTGGTTCCCTGAGAACGTCCTTGAGCCGGGCACGTCCCGTGCTGCATCTCTTCCATCTTCAGAACAACCTCGTGAGATCGACACAATTCTCTCTATTCTGCCAATGGGGAAGTCGAGGCACAGAGGGGAAGTGTTCGCTACACCACGCAGCTGAAACAAAATCAATGCCGAGACTCACCCTCCGGCTACATGGCAGGGTGGCCTCCACCCAGGCCAAGGCCATGTCCAGAGGGAACGTGGCCGCCGCCTGCCCTGGCCCCCTCACTGGGGCCGTGTCCACGGATCTCTCAGCCTCAGCTCACAGCATGGCCTGGACAGAGCCTGTGGGAGGAGCACCTGCCCATGCAGGCCATGCGGGACCATCCCCCACAGCAGGAAGGTGGACCACACACAGCTCTTCACGCTTTGGGGGTTCAAGCCTATCAAGGACTCTTGCCCCAGCCTTAAACGGGGCAGCAACAACGCCTGTCCCGTTGGGCGGGAGAGAAACCCGAGGCTAGACAGCCCAAGTCAGCAAAGGGCAGAGCCAGCCAGGGAGCAGAGGAGACGGGTGCTACCTCCATGTGAAGCCTCACAGCTGGGGTGCTCTTCTCCAGGTGTCTCCCCTCATCTCTGAGATGGGGAAGGCCTCCTGCAGACTCGTCCCAGCCAGCCAGGTGCACATCGTGTCTACATAAGTTCAGCCTCTGGGAGGTGGGGCTGTTTGTTACCCAGCATGAACCACCCCATCCTGACCCACACACCTCCGGCTCTGGTTGGAGTCCATCATTCTTCCTACCAGCCCCTGTGGTCATGATGCTCTTTATCTTTTCTCTATCTTCATGCTTAGTGTTTTACCCTCCGATATGCCCAGAAGAGGATGGGTCCCCCAGAGACGGTGCAGGTGGCTCTGGGGGTGAGCTCCTTTTCCTTCTCCCTACTAACACCTCTGCCTCTTCCAGCGTGTCCTTTCTCAGCATGCACAGAGGGAGAAGGAACAAGTGGGCCCCTGTCCTGGCCTGTTTGTGCTCTGGATGGCTGAACCCTAAACCTGCTCACCCAGGGAGCCCCGAGGGAGGACCCTGAACGGCACAGGCACCTGGGCCCACCTGGGAGGGAAAGGGCCCACCTGGGGGTCCCTGTGGCAGCTGCTGGGCCTGGGTGCTGCCCACTCCTCTCTCCTAGGACAAGCCTGGCTCTGTGCCAGAGAGTGGGGGTCTCATCTATCCAGTCCAACTGCTCCAAAAGCCAATGAATTCTCCTTAAAATCAAGCACGGGCTTGGGACAGCCCAGCCACTGGGCCACAGCTCCCAGGGTTCATATTTCATAAAGAGCAGCTGGAAATGGACAGGTGTGACCTCTCTCCATCTGGGTGCTGACTTCGGTGGTCAACTCTGGGCAACAGAAATGGTCTGAATGCCAGAGACCACCCTCTGGAGATCTGAGCAGGTTTGTCTCAAGAGGGGACTCCTTCAGATGTGGGTCTCCTTTGGGAGCCCCTGAGCAGGTTCGGCTCCTCTGTGCCCTGGGGTGTGGGCAGGGCCTGGGCAGAGGCAAATGCACGTGGCCATCAGCCTTCCCACTGGCCCAGCAGGGGAGCATTTGGTTCCAGGGGAGAAATGATTTAGAATGAGGCATGTTTTGTGTCTCCAGTGGCCCCACATTGACCAGAGTGGGGACCAGGACTTGCCTCTGCTGGGGTGTGGGTATTCACGTACAGGGTGAGGGAGGCCCCTGAGTGGTTACAGGCCGGGTACTGTCCACTGGCCCGGGCTGGGCTTCCGGGAGCATCCTTGTGGTGCAGGAGAAGCTAGAGGGCTCTCGCACTGCGCAGCATCAGGGCAGGCCCAGCACCCAGGAAGGATCTCCCTGTCACCACGTGTGCGCTGAGGTCCCTCCCACCTGCCGTCCCCGCCAGCCACGCCTGCTGCAGCCCCTCCCAGGACACCACGGCCAGCGAACAAAAGCCATGCTTATCAAAGGAGTTTTTCTTTATTTTCATAATTTAGCTGAATCAACACAAAATTGAATACTGTAAAACAAGAAAAAAAATGCTGTAACATATTAAATCTCGCTGTCTCTGCCCTGGAAGGTGTCGACACTCGCTGGCAGGGCAGGGCAGAGGTGTGCCAGGCGGGGCGACCCTCCCAGGGCCTCCCGGAGCACAGCGCCCCGGCCTTGGAGCCCGGGCTGGCCGCTCGGACAGCACCCTGGGTGGCCCGTCTCCTCCATGAGGAAAACCCAAAGCCGCAGCTGATTCGTTCTCTCTAGGATCCACATACCTCTAAATTTGGGGTGGCTGAAAGGTAAATTAAATACTCACGGACATTGGAATCGGTCTTAAATAAATGGATTTTCTCTCCTATCTTTAGTCTATGGGTTGCTGGAACAACTTCTATATAGTTATTATTTTTTTTTCCTTTTTCCTTTTTTAGTAGCATAGAACTAGCATAATACTCTGGTTAATTGGACTCTTAGGTAGTATACTTCACTGGAAACTCAGGAAAAATGGAGGAATCTGGCCAGAGGAAGGAAAACATAACTGTCCCTTATTTGTCGGCCGGCCGGCAACCCCGGGTTGCAAGAGGGATGTGGGACGATGGGGTTCCTGCCGTCTCTGGGCACCGCCGTCCATCCCTATGGTCTCGACCTTCCCACAGGAAGACAGAACGAGCGGGACATCGCCTGGGGAGAAGAGATCCACTGCCCACTGCCCTCAAGATCGATGGATGTGCGAGCGGGAACGGGAGGGGGACAACCCACCGGAAGGAAGAGGCGAGATCAGAGTATTGTACACTCAGTGTGGATGGAGGCAGAGGCCAGGGGAGGGACCCGCAGACCCAAACCAGCGACGAGAAACGGGCTTCTGGCCCGGCCACCACGTGGTGACGCCAGCTCACTGCCCCCAGAGTCCTGCCCCGCCCCCGGCTCCCGGCCCACCCAGAGCCCTCAGGGACACGGGGCTCCACCACCTCTCCGGACGGCCGGGGCTACACATTAATTGTTAAATAGGATTTTCTACAAATATACAACATATAAAAACTGTTAAATATATAACTTTAGGCTTTGCAAAATACATTTAATGATCTCTTTCAAACAAGTGTTACTTTCGTTTCCTTTAATTTGCTTTCTGGAGCTAAATGGTGAATTGGATGAGACAGCAGTCGAGACCCAACATGCTCTTGGCGGATACTGGATTACCCCACTATCGGAAATGGAGCTGGAGAGAGGCCTGTCTAACGGGTTAAAACAGAAAGTGAGTTTAGTACGATCAAGTCCATCTAAGTACAGAGGAGCGGGGACTGCGCGGCCGGCCGTGTCCGGGGGGTGGCACGCTCGCGGGCTCTGCATGGGGACATCGCCGCCGCGTCCCACAGGGCTGCCTCGGGGTCCTCCGGCCAGCTCGGCCCCTCTCAGGGGGCACCGCAGTGTTCGTGGGTCGGAGGCCTCTGCCGGGGCCGCCCCACCGGGGCCTCCGGCATGTCTCTGCCCCTGTGTCCCCCAGTCGAACCCAGGACTCTGACGGTGAGGGCGAGTCCGCGTTAAAATAGATTTTGCTCTTTGGTCTATCGAGTATACTGAAAGGATAAGAAAATAAAAGCGATTCGGACAGTCTGGGGCACAAGGAGAGGCCACTTCTGCGCCCGAGAGTCAGTCCTCCCCTGGGCCAGCGCCGTCTTCCTCCTCCTCCTCCTCCACTGCGGAGGGGCCAGGCTCCCCGACGCCCAGCACAGCCCCCACCGGGTCCCAGGCCGGGCTCCTCGGTGCGGCCGACAGGCTCAGCTCAGGATGCCGAGGAAGCGGGCGTCCTGGACGGGCTACGGAGAGACGGAGGGTGGGCGGATGGCGGAGAATGGGGGGCGTCCGCGGCGGACAGAGGACTGTGGCCGAGGGGTGGACTCTATATGGAGCCAAGGCCACTCCCGGGGCCCGTCTGGGGCTGCGTTTGTCAGGAGACCTGAGGAGCAAAGAGAAGAGAGCGGTCAGCCTCTGTAGACACAAAGGGTCCCGTCTGAAATGGGACGTACCCAGGAAACACCCACAAGGCTGGCCTGGGGGACAGTGCGCTTCATGGGTGCTGCTTCTCATCCCTCCCCCGATTCAGGCCAGCAGACCCTTTCGAGGACAAAAACCTAGATTTCAGGCTTGAATGGCGGAGGGAGGTCTATGCCTGCCACCGAGGCTGGCTCCTGGAAACACCTGCCCTCCCTCTGTGTCCTGGGTGGGAACCCTCTTGGGCGTGACCGAAGGGCACACACCCCAAACAGTGGCAGCCGTGGGTACGAGCCAAGTGTCCCCTGGACTGGCCAGGGGCTTGGGTCTGGGTCCCACCCTCCTGTTCCCAAATGTTTCTTCACATACAGCAAGTGCCGTATAATTGCACAGAGAGGAGTGATGGAAGTGTGTGTGTCGAACACCCACGGCACCCCTGGGAGGCTGCAGAGCAGGGGGGGCGTACACGTCCTCCTTTGCTGAGGCCTCCAGCACCCGCACCCAGCATCCCAGGAAACACCACAGAGCGGGCCAGCTCATGGTCATGGAGTGAGAAATGACGGGCCAAATATCACCTTTAAACTGACAGAGACAGAAACGCCAAGATGTGGTTCCCACAGACCACAGCCTCACCCTGTGGGACCTCATGTCCAGCGGCCTCTGTCCATATCCCTGCTGGGCCGCAGCTCCCTCATCCCTCAGGGCGGCCCCAGTCCGAGGCAGGGATGCTGGGGGGCCCAGGTCAGGGGCTCAGGGGCTGCCCCACTCCGCGCAGTCTCTCTGCTTGGGCCAGCTGTGCCGGTAGAGGGGGGCATCATGGGGGCTTCCCACACACATGCAGCAGAAACCGGACACAGCACAGCCTTGGAGCGACACAGATGGGCTGGGGGGCCTGTCCTTGGTGGGTGGCCCGGAGGCCCCCAGAAGTCCCAGCTCAGTCTCCTCACCTTGTGCCTCTCCCTGCAGCCGCTGCTCCCAGCTCCCGGGTGGTCCCCATCTCCATCCCATTCTGCCTGAGTGCCCCTGCCCTGTCCCACCTGCCTGTGGCTCCCACCACACTCCCATTGGACCCCACCCACGTCCCAGGCCCCTGCCCCCCACGCTGACCGCACCCAGCACTGTGGCTGCTCGGCCTTCTCTCAATTCCTCGGCCGTACCAGGCTGTGTGCTGCTGTCCTCGCTCACGAGACCCTCTCCCTGGATCCCAGATTTCACCCCAGGTCCCCTCTGAGGATGAGCCCACCCTCATGGCACCACCTGGAGCTGCCCTGCCCTGCTCGTTGGTCCAGCAGCTGTCCTGCCCTGCTCGTTGGTCCAGCAGCTGTCCTGCAGCCAGCTGTCTGGGGGGCCCTGCACTGTGCGAGATTGTTCAGCCCTTCCCTGGTCTTCCTTCCTCCAGTCCTCCAGTGGCTGGCTCAGGAGAGTTTGGGCACCTGCTGGATCCAGCGAGCTGCCGTCACGTCACATGAGGTCCCTCCCAGGGGAGGCTGGCTGCACTTCTCACCCCCAGCTCCCAGCAAGGCCCTACTGGGTGTGTCCAACTCCCCTGCAGGGACGCTGCTCTCCACCTGCAGCTCTCAGACGCCCGGAGCCAGGAAGAAGAGCTGCCCTACTGGATGGGGACACGGCTTGGCCTCCCCTCCCCGAGGCTGGTGGCCCCTGGAACATGGCAGGCACAGAGTTCCAAGAGCAGCCTTTGAGAACCCCAGGTCTCCCTGAGGCCCCCGCTGGACCACACCCTCTCATCCTGAGCTCTCTGCTGAGCCCGGAGCACAGCAGGGGCCTTGAACACACCAGTGGGGGCAGATTACCTGGAATTAGGGGCTGTGGCCCAGGCCCACCCAGCAGGTGGAGCAGAGCCAGAACGGGAGCCAAGGACGTCACCCAAGGGTGCCCAGTGGGCACAGAGCCCAGGGAGGCTCAGGGCAGGCTGGGGTCCATCAGTGCCCTGTGCCTGAGGAGGGACGGGACAGACTGCACCGAGGCTCCAGATGGTCGGGTGTCCACCCTCTTGGCAGGACTGCCTCCCACCGGACCTGAGGAAGCAGGCTGGGGCCAGCGCAGCCTCCTCCAGGACCGCACATCTGGACAGCGCAGGAGGGCGTGAAAAGGAGGAGGAAGGTCATCGACCGCCCTGGGCTGATCATCAGCGTGAACTCGCCCTGGGGCTCACGTGGCAGGGACCCCGGGGGCCCCAACACGGAGCCCGCGGGGCCCGCCTGTGCGGGATCTTTCCGAAGGCGGTTCCTTGAGAATGTGAACAGACAAGATGGCAGGGGGTGTCTGAGAGCTTCAGAAACCTAAGAATTAAACCAGGTACACTTGCTATCTGGCGGCATCTGCTTGCAAGAAAACCTATCGTTTTAATCATCAACATTCACTCTGGTCCCTAAGGCTGTTCTGGGGCCGCTCCTGCGTCATGGTTCTTTAGCAACTGTGTCTCTGCACTTTGTAGAAAGGAACAATGAGGCAGGTCTTAAAATAACACACCCCCTCCACCCCATGATCCACGCTGAAGATCACCCCCCTTTCCCGCCCCGCTGGCCTCCACCCTCCGGGCCGACACCGTCCTCCCCGGCTTAGGAGATTCTCGGCTCCCTATGCTCCTGCTGCTGGGCCATGTCCCTTCCCAGCTTCCAAGAGCCCCTGTGCTCAGCCTCCCCTTAAAGAGGGGGCTGCCTGCCACCCCTCTCCTCCCTCTGAAACCTCCGCCTCTTGGTCTGGCTGTGGCGCCTCCTCTGAGAAGCCCACCCTGAGCTCATCCAACTCTCCAGTGTGGTGGGGCCACAGCCTCCAGGGCACTGCTCTCCACCCGGCGCCCTGTGTCCTTGCTCCTCGGTGGGGGTGGCTGGTCACCAAGCCAGGCCCTGCAGGGACAATGTGAGTCAGGGCCCCCAGGCACTCAGGGTCCAGACCGTAGGCCACACCTACACACGTGCGCATCAGGTCCCCCAGAAAGGAGGTGAGGCACCCCTACCCAGCCATGCCATGAGAGTCCCATGGGGCGGTCGTCACAAAGGACCACAGAAGGGGGGCTGCAAACAGCATTAGTTTATCCTCGCACAGCCCAGAAGAACGAGATGAAGGTGTTGGCAGGGTTGGCTCCTTCTGGAGAATCTACTCCACGCCTCCCCCCAGCTTCTGGAACCGCAGGCCTTCCCTGGGGCTCCTTGGCCGGTGGCTGCATCGCTCCAGTCTCTGCCTCCCTTGTCACACGGCCTTCCTCTCTCTGCCTGGAACCTCCCTCTCCTCTCTCTTACCTCTCGTCACTGGATTTAGGGCCCAGCCAGACCCAGGATGATCTCATCTCGAGATCCTTCACTTAGTTACATCTGGGAAGAAAGACCCTGTTTCCAGATAAGGGACATTCACAGGTTCCAGGTGGACGTAGTGTTTTGGAGGCCAACATTCACTCCACTTCAGGGGCCCGTCTGCTCTTGGCTTTCTTTGCATCCAACCAGCCGCCTCATCTTCGCCCATGGCTGTCTGCACCCTCCACCCCTAGCCTCCCCGAGCTTGAGCACATACTCCACACTCAACCCAGGATGCTGGGAGTGGCGGCAGAGCTCACCTCCCCAGACCCCGCAGGCCATTCGCCCCGGGTCTGCCTCCGAGCTGCCCACGCCTCGTGGGAGCTTCCCCTCCCCCACCGTCCTGCACAGTCACTCATTGGCCCCCAAAGGGTGATTCTACTCTTTTCTACTTAGCAACTTGCATAGACTCTTATTCGTAGATAAAAGGGGAAATTTAGGAGTATAAGATAAAAGACAACAAAAATCCACCCACATTTCCATATCTAAAGGTAAACATTTGGAACATAGTGTATCTCCTTTCATCTTTTTTTAATTATAATTTTTTTTGAGGAAGATTAGCCCTGAGCTAACATCTACCTCCAATCCTCCTCTTTTTGCTGAGGAAGATTGGACCTGAGCTAACATCTGTGCCCATCTTCCTCTATTTTATATGTGGGATGCTGCCACAGTGTGGCTTGATGAGCAGTGTGTAGGTCCACCCCGAGGATCTGAACCTGTGAATCCCGGGCTGCCAAAGCAGAGCGTGCAAACTTAACCACTACACCACCAGGCCGGCCCCTCTCCTTCCACTTTTAACAGCGCATATGTATCAACAAGCGCTGGGGTCCGGCATGAACTGCCGCAGGAGCACGCCAGCAGAGCTCTCTGTGGTGACAAGAAACTCCTGGAGCACAGACGAGTTCATGAGAGCCCCAGGGCTCCTCGAACGGACTCACATGGACCCACTGCGGTCTAATTGCCTTCTGCACCCCAGCAGGTGCTGTCCTCACAGTCAGCCGGTTGGACTAAAGCGATTTCAAAACTTCGTTAATTTGACAGGAGAAACACAGTGTTTTGTTGTGGCTCCATCTTTGCTCTTTTCAACGACTAGAGAACGAGAGCAGTTTTCCAGGTGTGTCTTCCGGCCATTCGTAAGTGGCTCCTGTCTGTGCCGGTGCATCTGGTTGTCTGTTCTTCCACCTGAGCGGGAATGTGTGCACCTGTGCCTCCAGGTACGCCGAGGAGCATGCCCTCAGCACACTCACTGCAGGCTTATCTTCCAGCTTCTCCATCTTCTGCTTTTGTTTATATTATACCAGGTATACTAAAGTTTTCACTTTCATGGAGTAAGCAGTGATCATTTCTCATGTGGATTCGCACTGGGGCTTAAAGCAATGCACACTGCTATGCACGTTGTAATTTCTTACAGCTGTAATTTTTAACACTTCTAACATTTGGCTCTAGGTTCATCTGGAATGTACTGGGACCAGAACAGGTATCGATTCCATCTCCCATCCAGGGCCCTGGGGACCCCTGGGGGAGAGAAGGACCCCAGCCCCATGCAGAGAGGGGTGGGGTGTCCTGACGCAGGCCTGGGCCCCCAGTACACTTCGGTCCCACCCAGAAGGCCTCAGACTGGATTAGATCTTCACAGTTCTTGACTCCCTTATCA